AAGGTTGGGCAATCCTACTTCCGTAGTGATACTGCCTCGGAAACCCAAGGAGGGGTCGCTATGAGTCGGGGCTGACTCGACGGCACATAACAACAACAAAAACTGTGGTGCCTACAGAGGAGGACAGGGAGTCTAGGCCAATCCTACCCACCAAGTCAGTGGCTGGCCTAGGTTAAGCAAGGACCTAGGCTTGACTGACCTAATTTATTGTTTCTGCTCCTTTCCTGTTTGCTTTCTCACTTCCACTCTGAGGGGAAAATACAGTTCCAGTGCCATTAGGGGGGGATGTAGCCAGCTGTTTCCAGTCTAAACAGCTGGCATGGGGGTGGGGCAGCGGATATGAGATAGGAAACAATTCCACCCCCCTCCAACCACAGCTGATGAAGTCATACCTGGGGTGACAATATTGATTTCCGGGAAGACAGACTGTATGGTCTGGCGGAGCAGCTGGTAGCCCAAGGCCTGGTTGTCAGAGGGGCTGACCGGCAGGGGGTCAAAGGCACTCAACACATGGTACTGGATTCGGTCATCAGCCACAATGTTCTTGACGAGTTCTAGGACCTCCAGTTTGGAAACAAAAGGAGTTAGTTTTCTTATTGATCTGCTATCCAACTACCCTATGAATTCAAATAGTCCTGATTTCTCTTCAGGAAAGCAAAGCCCTGGAAGGTTCCCTGGAGGGAACTCATTATTTTAGCTCTGGGATCTCAAGTTCAGCTGATTGGCTGTAGGAGATCTAAGAGCTGAGTCTTCTTGAAAAGGGATGGTCAGTAAGTTAGATTTAGGTTAGATGTTTGGAAGGTTTGTCTTCCAGCCATGAGTGCAGTGGGGAATTGGAAAAGCAGGGAATTAGGTGTCCTTTGCCTAGGAATGTGAACTATGGGTCAGAGGATTGAGCATAGAAGTGAAAGTAGTGAGGAAGAGATAGCAGAATATGAATCTCAATGATCTTGAAGCAGGGATGTGATGACCTCATTTCAAGCTGGGGGAGTCTCAAACAGGTGATGAAAAGGTCACATGATTTTCTTTCCACCTTCTGGGCATCCCTGCTTCCTGTTTGTGACCAACTGCCCTGGAGCCAGGAAGATGAGCTCAACACAGACAAAAAATCAGGAATTGAGGGGCTCATATTCAAGTTTTCTCCCTTTGCCTCCTTTCCTCAGGAAGGAACCTGAGGAAACTCCTAGAAAATTCAGTGTGAAATGACTAAAGCTGAATCCAGCAAAATTCCTGGTCCCGGGAAGGATGTAGACCAGGCCCTGGGGATCAGGTCACACAGAGCCCTGTGGGGCTGGACTAGGGGGCTGGTTTAGAATGTCCCCCAAAACCTACCCACCACTCGGGTAAAGCTCCAGCACTAGTCCCAAACCATTTGATCAGCTGTCGCTTTAACACTGGCTCTGCCCAGGAAGGAGGGTTCATAGTTATAGGATCATCAGAATGGCAGAATGACTTCAACAATACCCCTTTCAGGTCAGGGTCCACAAGACACATGCTAGGAGTTGAGTCTGGAAAGGAAATGTGGGCTTCTACTTCTGGCTAAACCAGTTGCCATCAAGTCTACTCTGATTCATGGTGACCCCATGTATGTCAGAGAAGAATGTTCTGCATAGAGCTTTCAATGGCTGAGTTTTTGGAATTAGATTACCAGATGGCTTTTCTTGTAAGGCATCTCTGGGTGGACTCAAACCTCCAACATTTTGGTTAGCAGCTGAGTGTGTTAACCATTGACACCACCCAGCCACTCCTACTTTTGGCTTAAAAAACACCATTTGAGCCAAACAAATTCCCTGCCATTAGACGGGTAAAGGTGTCAACTCAGTGATAAGAGCTCATTTTCTTTCTAGCATGTATGTTGTTGTTGTTATGTGCTGTCAAGTCGGACCCGACTCATAGCAACCCCTCCTTGGGTTTCCGAGGCAGTATCACTACAGAAGTAGATTGCCCCATCTTCCTTCTGAGGAGTGG